CTATGATGGAGGAAATAATAAAATATTGCTAATGCAATGCTAGCTAGCGTCATGCTAGCTGGCGCGTGTGGATGTGGTGCCTGTCCACGTGTGTCCGTCTGGCACGAGGCTGTGTGGTCGTCATGGAGACGGCGCTGTGAGACGGGGAACCCTCAAACAAGTTCTTGTAACCGCTAGAGGAGCGACTGGGTGTCCGGCTAACCCGCATGTCCATGTGTCCTTGGGCAAGACACCTGACCCCAGCATTGCTCCTGTGTCTGTGGCTACAGTGGGAATGTTAAACCTGGTTTTCAGAGAAACGCAGGGACGCGCTCGTGCGACGGCCTCCCGCGTGCTCGCGTGCATCGACCGCTTTGAAGCAGCATTTGCAACCATTAGTTTTGAGGTTGATATTCGTTCGCTTCTCTCGGAGAAGGAAGTGGTGACCTGACTGACTTTGTCTCTTCAGCCCAGAGACGTCACCAACTTCACGGTGGGAGGATTCGCCCCAATGAGCCCTCGGATCAGCAGCCCGATGCACCACGGGGGAGGAAGTGAGTCGTCGCAGCGGCATCAGAACTGCACTCGTAAACCGGGTCTCACAGGACGGATTTGAGACTGAGAACGGCTCTATTTTGAATCTCGTAAACTCTGACGCAGTCCACATGTATTTTGAGCTTAATTCCCTGGACGTTAAAAAATTCCAAATGTTCTGCTGCATATTGCCAGATGTGCTGGGCTTGTCTCCATGGAAACCGTTATCAACTCAGCCATTTATTTCTACGTGTTTCTGCACTTGTGTAGAAGTTTTTCAGACACTAAACGCCATGTTGTCTGAGTGCACGACATCCTCATGACGTTCACAGATTGAAATAAGACACGTTGACGTGCACTACAGCTCTGTGAAGCCGAATTAAACGCTTAGCTGTGATTTCATGTGATAAAGGGATGGAAGTGATGAAGAGATGACGATGTAATGAGGATGACCTGTTAAAAAAAGTCATCTTTCATTAAACTCTGTAGAGATGAGTCAGTAAGAACAATGTTTTTGTCGTCCTGTAGGCTCCCCACAGAGGGGAGGAGGAGGAGGAGGTGGCGGAGGAGGTGCAGGAGGAGGGGGAGGCGGGGGGATGGGGCGGGGCAGAGGACGGAGAGACAACGAGCTGATTGGTCAGACGGTCCGTATCTCCCAGGGTCCCTACAAAGGTGAGACGAAGCCCGACTCGACTGCTGTCAGACTCTTAAAACGACGCTGACCTGGACTACATTTCCCAGGATACATCGGTGTGGTGAAGGACGCCACGGAGTCCACGGCCCGAGTGGAACTGCACTCCACCTGTCAGACCATCTCCGTGGACCGTCAGCGCCTAACTACCATGTACGTGGTTCCTATCGATCACGTCCTCAAATATACGTTCTACAAGTCCCTCCTTTAGGGCGGGGCTACACGCTGATTGACAGCGGCCCTTCTTCTCTTCAGTGGCTTGGAGGCGTTTTACACAATGACACATGATGGCTCCTCCCCTTTCTTCTCTGGACGATACGTCGTCCCCTCTGCCAAAAAAACGCCTCACCAAGTTTTAAACCCTCTAATTAATCTCTGTCCGCCCCCTCCCTCCTCCCCCCCTCTCTCCCTCCTCCCACAGGGGCGCTAAGCGACACAGCGGGATGACCTCCACCCACGGCCGTACGCCCATGTACGGCTCGCAGACGCCCATGTACGGCACGGGCTCCCGGACCCCCATGTACGGCTCCCAGACGCCGATACACGAGGGTGAGACGCTCCCCCCCCCTCTCTCCCTCCCAGGGTTCATCGTGTTTTCCTCACCCTTCACGGGAGGGGGAGTGTTTTCCTTCGTCGGGGGACTTGGGTTCAGCGCCGATGTGAAACTTTATAATGTCACTATGAATGACGAGCTAATACAATATCGTGTAGAGTGACCCCTGCATCCAGGGGCGGTTCAACCTGTTGTTACATCATCAATAAGAGCTTTATTGAATTACCAAGGACATAATCTGCAGCTAAATAACAATATCATCAATGTGATGGTTTTTAGGTTTTATACATACAAGAGCGTCACACACGTCTTTTATTTTCATATATTCATGTTATTTGATCAATAATGTGTTTAATTTCTCTCAGCGGGAAGCCGGACGCCTCACTACGGCTCTCAGACCCCGTTGCATGATGGGAGCAGGACGCCGGGTCAGAGCGGAGCCTGGGACCCCAGTAACCCCAACACTCCTTCCAGGTAACACACACACACACACCTACACACACACCTACACACCTACACACACCTACACACACACACACACACCTACACACACACACAGACACAGACACACACAGACACACACACACGGCCTTAATGCTCTCTGTTCTTCCTCAGGAACGAGGAGGAGTACGACTTCGGCTACGATGACGAGCCGTCTCCGTCCCCTCAGGGCTACGGCGGGACCCCCAACCCGCAGACCCCCGGTTACCCAGAAGTCCCCTCTCCTCAGGTCAACCCCCAGTACAACCCCCAGACGCCCGGCACGCCGGCTATGTGAGTACTTCAAACATAATGATGAACAAAGTATTTCTATATACAGAAAATAAACCGTTATTCCTCCGTAATGATTAAACACACTTTATTAGAACTGCAGTAACGTTGTGTGTTTCTGTGTGTGTGTGTGTGTGTAGGTACAACACAGAGCAGTATTCTCCCTACGCCGCCCCCTCCCCTCAGGGCTCCTACCAGCCCAGTCCCAGTCCTCAGAGCTACCACCAGGTGGCGCCCTCGCCAGTCGGCTACCAGAACACGCACTCCCCGGCCAGCTACCACCCGACGCCCTCCCCCATGGCCTACCAGGCTAGTCCCAGTCCCAGCCCGGTGGGCTACAGCCCCATGACGCCCGGAGCGCCCTCCCCCGGGGGCTACAACCCCCACACCCCCGGCTCCAACATCGAGCAGGGAGGCAGCGACTGGGTGACCCCCGACATCCTGGTCCGGGTGAAGGACTCCTTCATGGACCTGATGGGGCAGACCGGGGCCATCAGGAGCGTCACGGTAAACGCAGGAGTTGTCTTGGCAATCGGGGGCGGGCTTAGGGGGTGTCCACCAGAGTCCATTCAGAAAAACAGTGATTTAAGTTCTGAGGTCACAGGAGGCGTCGCTCTGCTAATCCCCCCCCAGCAGGACGCTGTCCGCTGCGTGTCACGTTGATTCATTGACTCCGAAAAGCTGTTCGCCGCCTGCTGGCCAATGCGCTCGCATCTGGCCGGCGAGTTAGCTCGTTGGCTAGTTAGCGTGTTAGCTCGTTGGCTAGTTAGCGTGTTAGCTCGTTGGCTAGTTAGCGTGTTGTGGCTGCTGACTTTGCGATGAATGGTTTTGTGTAACTTGTGTCTGACCCTCCGAACAGACTCGGCTGGTGTGTCGGAGCCTCTCTGGTCTCCTTGTTCCTCTTGTTTCCGTGTTTCCATGTAGCAACAGAGTAACCTCATGTTGTGAGCTTTACCCAGCATGCAGTTCAGCTTGTGGCTTATTATGCAGCAATGACTGGCGAGAATGAGACCAGTAGCCCGTGACGTGTGACAGTAAATTCTGCCGCCTGCTGAAGAGCAACGTCAGCTTTTACAGCGGTAAAGTTCACCCACAGCAGAACTTTACTCCGTCTACTGACCACACGTAGAAACTCCTCATGTGTCGTGCGAGTCTTGTATTTGTGGTGTGATTTGTGGCTTTTGAGGAGACGAGCCTGAGCTTTATCAGAGTAAAAGCATCTGTTCTGTGTGAATGTGATCCCGTGTCTGATTACATCTGCTCCAAACTAGCTTCCTGTGAGCAGAGCCGAGGCGAACCGTTGATGAACGGCCAACTCGCATCTCAACTCACACGTGATTAGACGACGGGTCTGATGCAAACGGCTGGTTTCTCCCTTGTTGCTCTGTGGGAGGTGGAAAGACTCCAAGCTGGATGAGGCTCTTTGTCTGAGCATCTGGAAGCCGTCATTCAGGGCTCTAATTGTTAGTTCTGGAGCGAGTTCAGTGGAGATTAATGGTTCTGTCTGCTGAAGATCCCGTGTGAAGTGTTTTTTTTTTCATGAAAGCATAAATTCCTCCATTAAATTATTTCAAGCCTCACACAAGAAGACGGGAATAATTCTCACGGCCACTAGTGCGTCCCCTGAGAAGAGCTTTGTGTTCATAGCTGAAGACTTTGTCCCTGTGTCCCCCCCCCAGGGAGGGATGTGCTCCGTCTTCATGCAGGAGTCGGAGAAGGTGGTCAGCATCAGCAGCGACCACCTGGAGCCCATCACGCCCACCAAGAACAACAAGGTCAGAGGTCGCACATGGCGATGGTCAATGTCGTGTTCTTTTATTGCTCTTTAATCTTTTGGGGTATTTCTGATGTTTTTCCCAGAAAAGTAACTGACTTCCCAGAATACGGGAATATCGCCCCGCATGACGTCGCTAGTCCAGAAAATACTGTCTGAATATACGACACACAGGACGTTATTCTAAATGCTTTGTGTTTACAAATAGAATGAATCGGGGGGGAAGTTGTGTGATTGGTGCAGACGGGTCAGATCACAGCTGGTGACCGTTGCCATGGTTTCCAGGTGAAAGTGATCCTGGGGGAGGACCGCGAGGCGACGGGCATCCTGCTGAGCATCGACGGGGACGACGGCATCGTCCGCATGGAGCTGGACGACCAGCTGAAGATCCTCAACCTGAGGTTCCTGGGACGCCTGGAGCACTGAGGGGGGGGGCTACTCACCAGAGACTGTCCCAATACTGCTGCGCTGTGGGAGGCGGACATGTTGGGGGATGTAGTTTTTATTCCTCCATAGAGCTAAGCCCCGCCCACACAGCTCCACCCTCCCCTTTCTTTTTCTTAACGCTCCCTTAGCTTCGTCCTCCGGCGTCCGGCTCTGTTTTTAAGTGCTCTCTGAATGTTCGGTTGTTGTTCTCGGTGGTTTGATGAAAGTGTAACACGTCAATAAACTGTGAGTCAGTGAAAGACAAACACGGGAAGCCTTGGATTGTGTTTATTGGTCACGTGACGAGCTGCACCAATGGGCGTCAGCCGCAGGGCCGCCGCGGGTCCTGGTGGTCGATGGGCAGGTAGTAGAACGGGACCTGGGGGGGGCAGGGGTGCCCCTGGAAGGAGTCCCGGGCCTCCGGGTCCCCGTCGCCGCGGTGACCGCATCCGACGGTCAGGTTGCGAGAGATCGGGATCTTCACCTGGAACCACACCTCTCTGCCCTGCAGGGGGAGGAGTCTGTGTGAGAGGAAATCCGACACGCGGCCATAATGGAAATGAGTCCGATATACTGTTTGTATATAGGATAGGTGGATATCGTGTCTGTCCTTCTGTCTCACGTCCCCTTCCACTGAACAACAGACTCCACACATCTGGCTACTTCTCTTCCTCTTATTCTGCTCAATATTGTTTCACATTTCTGTTCTCGTCCTCCAACAGTGAATCGTCCTCTTACGGAAGATGAGCAGGTGACATTGAATACGTGTGATGACGGATCATGTGTCCCCTTCGTGAACGTTGAAATGGTTTCTGTCAATGCGCTGAGGACCAGAGGGACGAGGCCTCACCTGGTCGCCTGTGACACACTGGACCTCATGTTTGTCTCCCAGATGTGGAGCCAAAACCGGATGAACCTCCTCCAGCTGCAAAGAGGCAGCAAATGCACGAGGGATGAGCACACAGACAGACAGGGGACACAGACAGACAGAGGACATGCACAGGGGACACAGACAGACAGAGGACATGCACAGGGGACACAGACAGACGGGACACAGACAGATAGAAGACACAGACAGGGGACACGCACAGACAGGTGTGCTGTACAATGACTTTTTACTTTTAAACTTTTTGGACACTTTTTGTTAAAAAAATGAGATACAAATAATGTCACATTACAATATGTTGAAAAATGTTTTTAAAAAGTAATACTAATACTAATACTAATACTGTAAAGAAGTCATATGATTGTATGTCAAAAAAAATAAAATATTCACATTATTGAATGAAAATATATATTCTAGTTTGTGTAGTATCATCAGTCATAGTAAAGTATGTTGCCAAAACATGTAAAAATCCATTGTGTAATATTTGATGGACACACAATCATTGATGTCTAATCATATTGTCGTTACCTTATAAGGACGCTCACAGGACGGATTGATTCCAGCTTCCTGCAGAAGCCTGAAGAGACACGCAGGACATGAATGTGTGTGTGTGTGTGTGTGTGTGTGTGTGTGTGTGTGTGTGTGTGTGTGTGTGTGTGTGTGTGTGTGTGTGTGTGTGTGTGTGTGTGTGTGTGTGTGTGTGTGTGTACCTCTGGATGTCAAACTGTCCTCGTAGCTTGAGGCTGATCTGAAAGTATCTGAGTGGTGAGTTCATTCCTTCCACACACGCCGCACACACTCCGTGTTTCTCCCACTCCTGTTTCCTGTCACACAACAAACACACAATCACATGTAGTCTGACCGTCACAAATCTATTATTTTCTCTAGTAATCATCTGTAAAATGACCGATATCACACAACTTAGTAAGTCCTGCATTCAAAACCTGTAATCAGTACAAGTAAAAAGTACAATAAGTACCTCTGAGATGTAGTAGACTATACGTATAAAGTAGCAAAGAATACTTAACTAAAGCAACTTAAGCTTGTTCTTTAGAAGAGTTCTTGAGTAAATATACTTTGAGCTGATACCGATAATACAAAGTACTATGTACGAGTAGTATGTACTAATACTAGTGTCCATCGCTCGGGGATCAGTACCAGAAGTGGAAGCTGGGTTGAGTCTTTAGCAGCGACGGCCAGTGTTGATTCAGCTCAGGGTCCAGTTCCTGGAACACAGAAACCTCATCAGGTCTCAGTCCGCTACTGAATCAGGTCTCAGGTCCGCTACTGAATCAGGTCTCAGGTGCGCTACTGAATCAGGTCTCAGGCTCACTACTGAATCAGGTCTCAGGTTCACTACTGAATCAGGTCTCATGTGCACTACTGAACCAGGTCTCAGGTGCACTACTGAACCAGGTCTCAGGTCCACTACTGAATCAGGTCTCAGGTCCGCTACTGAATCAGGTCTCAGGTGCACTACTCAATCAGGTCTCAGGTCCACTACTGAATCAGGTCTCAGGTCCGCTACTGAATCAGGTCTCAGGTGCACTACTCAATCAGGTCTCAGGTCCGCTACTGAATCAGGTCTCAGGTGCACTACTGAATCAGGTCTCAGGTGCACTACTGAATCAGGTCTCAGGTCCGCTACTGAATCAGGTCTCAGGTCCGCTACTGAATCAGGTCTCAGGTGCGCTACTGAATCAGGTCTCAGGTGCGCTACTGAACCAGGTCTCAGGTAAATCAGGTGAGCTGAAGCGGACCGGGACTCACCTGAACGTCGGACTGAAACATGGGCCAGCAGCTACAGCAGCGCCCCACCTTCTGAGGCCTGCAGGGTGCGTGTGAGGTTGACGGTATAATTGAAATAACAATCATCGTAATAATGTTACTAGTAGTAATGATTTAATGAACAACAGTACCGATAATGCTACTTGTAATGATTGTTACGTTATAAGGTGAAGACGCTCTCACCAAAGACCGTGGATCGTCCAGTTGTTGATACTCGGAGGAATCTTGCAGAGAGTCTCTTTGTCCAAAGACTGCAGGACGAGACAGAAAACATGAGACCTCCATTAAGAACAGCATGAGAACACCATGAAGACACCATGAAGACACCATGAAGACACCATGAAGACACCGGCAGCCCCACGTATTGATCGGTAAACGATTTGGCCCTTGGTGGTGGTGATGGAGCCGACCTGACAGAAGGCTCCGGGCCACTGCAAGGTGAACAGCAGACACTTCCAGGAGCAGAAAGGCTTTTTGCCCGGAGAGTCGAGGCCTTGGCGGCCATGTTTGTAGTCCTGCCAGGGTCCTTCCTGCGTGGCGGTGTAGTCCGGAAGCTGCAGCAGAAACACAACTGCAGGACTCAATCCGACCAGCAGGGGCAGCGCCGTGCGCCACATCTCCGTCCAGGTGCACTGATCAGAACATAAACATCAATTAAACACAACGTTTAATGTAGAATACGTTGACTCTGTAGCTGAGGTGTTCCCCAAGGTTCCATTCTGGGGCCTCTCCTGCTCAACAGGTCCACTAGCTCAGATTATGGAAAGAAACCAGTACAAATCTGACACACAGATCTCCTTAACGTTATCACCAGGGGACCAGGGTGTTTGGTAAAGACATTGGACAAATACATAACTGGATGTCCCAGAGTGGTCTTCACTGAACCAAAGATGAAACATTAGTAGCTTCAATCACTGACGTTAAAAACCACAAACAAGGCCAGAAATCCAGGAACGGATTCAGACCTCAAGCTCAACGGCCATATGAAGACAATCAAAATCACCTCAAGGAGACGAGGACTGACGTCTCAACCGGATTCTATAAGAACGTCCATGAATTGACTGGAATATTGTCACGGTGTGTTCACAGTCTCTGTAAAAAGTCAGTCAATCAGAGATCTGCAGCTCGAGTCCCCACTAAGTCCAGGAGTTTGGACCACATCCCTCCAGTTCTGAGGTCTCTAAACTGTCCAACAAAGAACAGACTTGGAGTTGACACTGGAGTTGGTTTAAAAAGCTCTGAATGGTTTCGGGACAAAATACAAGTCAGACCTGCTGCTGCCTGACGAACCACCCAGACCCCCCAGGTCCTCTGGGACTCCTTCCTGTCCCCATAGTCAGGACCAAACCTGCAGACCAGCTTCAGTTTTGCAGATTCACATCTGGAACAAACTCCCAGAAAGCTGCAGGTCTTCTGAGACTCTCAGAAAGACGGGTGGACAGACAGGTGGACAGACGGGTGGACAGACAGGTCTTCTGAGTCTCTCAGACAGACGGTTGGACAGACGGTTGGACAGACGGGTCTTCTGAGACTCTCAGAGAGACGGGTGGACAGACAAGTGGACAGACAGGTCTTCTGAGTGTCTCAGACAGACAAGTGGACAGACGGGTGGACAGACAGGTCTTCTGAGTGTCTCTGCGGCTTCAGATTGAAACCAGATGTAACGGGTGAAGTGATTCTTTTCACTCTGAAGAGCGACAGATGTTGTTCATCACGGAACACTTTGAAGACCAGAGTCAAAGTTACAACACACACATTAGTCTTTTTCTCTGTGAACATCTGGACACAAAATGTCTCTAACTTTTAAATCAGAGCAGAGGAGAAATGATGAAGACGGCGGAGAACTTACCAGAGAGCTGCTGCTGCTGCTCTGACCTCCTGCTGCAGCTTCTCTGCAGGAAGCACGCAAACAGGAAGTGAACCTCAGGTGTCTGTTTAGAGGAAGTGGTCTCTGCGAGACACCTGAAGGACCACATGACCCGACCACCGACACGTGTCCCACACCACAAGCGCTGAACTTCCACACGTTTCATTTTAAAGTTCTCTGTAGACACACAAACAGCTTCAGGCTCCCTGCGGTTACACAACGGCAACAACATTGTGTTTCTTCTAATATTCACAATAATAATCACTGTGTGCGTTCCCTGTTGCGCAGCGCACACATTTTGGCCTCTACGGGGGATCGTAGTTTGACACTGATACCGCGTGTGTGTGTGTGTGTGTGTGTGTGTCCTTGTCAGCGTGAAGCGAGGCAGCGCAGCTCGACACACTCGGCCACAGAATGAATCCCCTGCTGGTAAATATGACTTTCTCCTCTCTCTCCTTCCCTCGGCCGGAGGTCACATGACCTTCGACCTCGGCACTTTCGCAGGAGTTGTGTTTTATTGCTGCGTGTGCGAGTTGAACATACAACCTTGCGTGTGAACACGCAAGCCGCTGGGACACGCGTGTGAGCGACACCACGAGGTCCTGCACACAGAGACTCACGTTGTATAAATGTTTTGTGTTTTCGGCTGAAGGCTGAAGGTCAGCTGTCGTTTGACTCTTTGGCCTCTCGTTGGTCCGTCGGACACCACCTGACTCAAGAAGGCCGGTGACCTTTAACACGCTCTCTCTCTCTCCCTGCGTACGGAGTGTCGGGTTCGGAGGCCGTGATTGGCCAGAGTCTGGCAGTTTTGCCCACAGCGACACAACGTGACCTTAGCGGACGGCTAACGGTTTCATTTCAAAATAAAAGATATTTGAAATAAAAGACTCTTCATTCTGAAGAGTTTCTTATTCCTTTCAAGTCAAACGCACAAACAAAGGGAAGCCTTTGGGTTTATTTCCCACAGGATGCAGTTCTAGTTCAGCCCACGAGTTCAGGCCCTATCAAAGTAAAGGTTTTGACCCACGCTAGGTTTTCCTCATAGAATTAGCAGAAAATAATTTGAACGCCATGTAAAACATTAATAATATCTTCATAAAAAATGGAATGAAAACGTTAAGGAAATAAAATATTCATCACAAAACTGTGGCGTGATGTGAGAAAATGACACATTAGTGATTTATTACACATCAGGAGTCGTCGTGGTGCAGGGGTTATAGAAGCACAAGGTTGGTGGTTTGATTCCAGGCTGCCCCATGTTCCATGTCGAAGTGTCCCTGAGCAAGACACCTAACCCCTAATTGCTCCCCGGGCAAAAATGTGAAAAAGTCATGGGTTTAAAGTGTAATGTAAGTCGCTTTGGATGAAAGCGTCTGCTAAATGACCTGTAATGTATTCAGGCCACATGTTATATATTTAAAGAGTAATGAAACACAGCCTCAGAACAAAGAGCATCACCGCTTCCTCTTTCCTCTGAAGTGATGTGGAAAATAGCTACACAAAGTAAAGTGATGATGATCTCACGTGTTTGAAATGTTGTAAAGAATAAAACATGTTTAAAGAAGAAACAGTAATTAAGTCATAAAAGAAGTTTCATGTTGCGCAACAAGTCTTTCATGGGAAGAAATCTTAACGGGAACAATCTGCAGTTGTTTCTCTGCTGGAGATCAAATCCAAAATAAACTTTGTTTGTTTCCAGAAAGTTCAAGTTCTGGCCCAGCGAGCCTTCGGAAGCTCCGCCAGGCAGCTGAGGAACAAAGTCCCCGAGGCCCAGAAGCTCTTCCAGGTAGCCGGTTAGACGTCGGGGACAGGAGACCACACTCCGGCCGACGAGACACTCAACGCACAAAAAGGCACAAAGCCAACAAACGTTCTCCTCCGGCTCTCTGAAGAGGAGCCGACGCGTCGGCCTCCGACGAACCAACCAAAGAATTACTGTTTCCGTCTTAATACTTTGAATGTGTCCCCCAGGAGGACAACGGGCTGCCGGTCCACATCAAGGGGGGGACTGCGGACGTGGTTCTGTACCGGGCCACCATGGCGCTGACCTTGGGAGGTAACGTGGGCGCGACCTTCAGGAGCCACCACACGAATTCTATCATTAAATGTTCAGCCATGAAAACAAAGATCACCACCATCAGGTTACAGGAGGTCAAAGGTCAGCGCTAACGCTCACTCTATTTCCTGCTTCCTCGTCTCCTCCCTCCGGTGACCCGGAGACCTCTGCGTACGTCTTAAGGAAAGGAGCTAGGAAGCACAGGTGTCTCCTCGGCGGAGGTCCTAGGACACATTTAAGTTATTTTAAAAGGACTTTCTCACTTCCTCACCTTGGGCGGTAGGAACGCAAGGAAAGGAGGCAAGGAAAGGAATGAAGAATGTCAAAAATGCAGAACTGAGGGGAGCTGTACTTTAAATATTTACACACTCATGGGGGGGGGGGGGGATCTGAAACAGTATTTTGGGGTTATGTGGAAGTGAAACCCCCCCCCCATTGTCCTGCTGCTTCATCAGGGTGCGCTTGTTTTCCCCACAGGGACCTGCTACTCCCTGTACTGGCTGCTCTTTGCCGCGATGCCTCAGAGGAAAGCGTAGAGGAGGAAGATGATGATGAAGACGACCCCCCCTCCCCAGTCTCACCACTGATGTCTGTTGTGTTTGATTTCATCAGGATGAGAATGTAATAAAAAGCTTCATTAAAGCGCGTGTGTGGTGGTGGCCGACCTCTACGTATTTCAATGTTATACAGGTGGAATAAATGTTCCGTCCTGATTGAGACATCGCAAGCGATCAGGATCACATCTGCATCGCCACAGACACTTCATCCAGATGTGCACACACACGGCAACATCAGCATTAACGAGAACAGGACAGCTTTGTTTGTGGTTCACAGCAAACCGGCTGGAAGCACCTGGTTAGAAGGAGGAGGAGGAACGGACGCTTCTTCTTCTTCTTCTTCTTCTGTCAAAGGCTTCGAGTGAAATCACGGCTGCGCGTTGCGTCATCACGCAGGTTCACACACTGGAGAGCAAAACATTTTATTACTAACACTGGAATAGTTCAGTTTGTATATTATTATACAGGAACTAACTGCTTTACAAAAACAAAATGATACAATATCACATGTATGTACAGTGTAGTAAATATACCATCTCAAATTGTACACAAAGTATTTACAATCATCACACATACTGCAATAAAACAAAACTGGGACTATTACTCTACAGACATCAGATTTTGCATAACATCAAATAAAACATGCCACATCGAGGGTTCTTCTCTACGAACCCGTGTTTTAAATTAGTGCAAGTCAACCACTCGTTCAAGAGCTTCTGGGTAATAATCCGGAATCCGTCCAATCACACGCGGGATCGTGATCAGGTGATCGGGTTACAGGACAGACTCGATGGGGGGCGATGGATTCAGTAAAAAAGGAAAGAAAAGAGCTTTAACGTCTTCGGCAAAAGTTCTGACCCAACCTGGACTTTCAGCGCCGCGCGACCCCCACGCGACCCCCGCCTCCCGAGTGAGATCACGTGACTTTAACATCACGCGCTCGCCTCTGGACTATTTACACGTGAAGCAGCGCCGGCGTTTCCCGAGACTCGGACCCCCATGAAAAGTCAAACCAAGTCGAGGTCACGGCCCGGGCGGCCAATCAGATCAGTCCGAAGGCGGGCTCGCCGGCCTCGACACAGACTTCCTGTCCGTGGTAAGATGGATATTAGCGTCTTCTAAATAAACCGTTCAATCGGTGGACCAAAGCATCACCGCCTCACCGCGACCTCTGAACCCGTCCCACGGACCAATCAGATGGTCCCTGACGCGGATGGAACCGATTGGTCTGTCGGGTGGATCGGAGCGTCCGACCCGTCCGAACGGCTGAAACGCAGCGAGATGATTCGGTTCCCCGAATGTGAGAAACCTCAAACAAGCCGGGGCTCCGCCCCCCCCCCGCGAAGACCACGAGCCAGCGTCCTCGGATGGCGAGACGGGCCGCAGCACTCCGCCCCCCCCAGGCGGAGGCGTCTCGCTTGAGTCGAGGATTATTGCCCCACTTTGTCAACGTGTAAACAAACAAACAGAAGAAATGCTGCTGATGGAAGAAAACAAGGAGAACATTTTACAGCGAGACAAAAGCCCACCAGGGGGAAAGAAGCCGGGAGCTTTTAACCCCCCTGCCCCCCCCCCCCCCCCCTTGTGTTCTGCCCCATCGGAGGTTGTTATTGGACGTCGTTGTTGTTGTTTGGGATGGAGGGTTTTGTACAGGATAAATACTCTCAGGCAACAGGGCATATGGATGATTGTTAGAGCATCAGGCTCCGCCTCCACATTAGTACCTGTGTTCTTTGTCTTCTGAACTTTACAAATTGTACACATTGAAAACCCCGACAAAGGCACACATGGAGAAACGTCTAGTTCGCACTAAGGACTCGTTATACACGTCTATGTCAAATATCAACAGCCCCCCACGCGGCTCCATTTGGTCCAGAGGAGGCGGCTGAGGGGGTCGCACGGTCTCTGTTTGCCCCCCCTCCAATAGGTCCACGTGCGTGGGACCCTTCCTCCAAGCTCCGCCCCCTGCGCCGTCCCAAATAAGGTACTTGAAGCAGCACAAAAAAAAGTTTTTTCTCCTCGGCGCTTAAAAAACCTCAACAGAAAAGGGGGGGAAGCACGGGGTGCAGCATGAGGTCTGGCGGGCCGGGGGGACGGGGGACGGAGGCAGGAAGGAGGTCACACGATCTTCTTGATGCTGGGCCTCTTGAAGCTGCCGGCGCTGCGCTGCTTCTGGACCTGACTGGCGGAGCCGTGGCGAGTCCGTCCCCCGCTGGTCAGGGCGGAGCTGGGGGACAGCTGGACGTTCTCCTTGTCCACACCTGGAGGACGGAGGCACATTGTGATGTCATTGTAAACAAACAGGAGGAGGCGCTAGTGACGTTACCAGCTAACCGCTAACTGCTAACCGCTAGCCAACGGCTCATTCAGGTACAACGTGATGCGTTCAGGCGCAGGTGATATTAGTGATCCGGTTTAACTTCATTATTATACATCATAAAGATAATTAGTTTATTGTAGGAAAATAGATTTATTTGCTAATCATTTTAGAAAAATAAAAACAATATAAACTATTAAAAAGTAAAAGTACAAGATTTAGGAATTTCGAAGGTGTTTTTGGACAATGACAGAATCACCGGGTCGCCGTACGGAAAGCCGGAGGTCCCCTGGGTCACCTGGCCGAGTGCCTGCCAAGGTGGCCAGCGAAGTCCTGGAGTTGGACAGGTGGGGTTTGGCAGTGATGCTCAGCTGGCTTGGGTGGGTGGGGGGGGGGGGGGGGGAGGAGGGGGGGCGCTCCCCTATCTCGTAGTCATTCTCTGGCACTCGCCTCATCTTGGGAGGCGTGGTCATTCCCGACTCCATCTCCGGCCTCTTTGGTGCCTTAGAGTCCGAGATGAGATGATCGAAGCTCTTCCTGGTGCCTGCAGAGAGAAAGTCTTCAGGAGGTCCCTCTCACAAATATCACAAAAACATTACTTCTCTGAGGATTGAGGACTCTTAATACTGGACGTGTTGGTATGACGGTAATAAAGAACCGTTCTTTCCTCTCATGAAGGTTCCTCACTGAGTGAAGTGGTGGAAGTGGCACCAGGATACGAGCGGTTCTATTCTCTAATGCAAAGGAGCTTCAGTGCTTCCTTACTTTGCTCCTCTAGCACAGGAACCACAGGACCGTCCTTTACCAGAGGAGATCATTCCGTCCCACAATATTTAAATAGAGACGCGTCATTGGTCCGTTCAGGAGAAACACAAGATGATGCCGTGGAAACACAGATCATGTGACTAACCGTTAGCATCACTCGTTTATTCCTCTGAACCGGGTTGTTTGTGCATCTGCACGACTCACAATAACCACACCGGAAGCATCGGAGACGCGTCTTTGTAGCTGCAGACTGACGTCCCTGACAAGCGTCGAGTCGATTCACTAAACACCGCCGTGTCCTTTCCTGACTCCTCATGAACTCTCCTCCCCACCTTCCCTCGACCCCGTGACGTTTCTCAACAGTCGAGGTACTAGTGGGTTAATTCGGCCAAAACCTTTTAATGTACTGTAGAACGACAGCTTGTGTGGTGATGCCATGTGACCTGGTGACACCACCCGGGTCCATGTGACCTACCCCAGCAGCTTTTTGGTGTTGGCATGTGAGGGCTGACCCCATGTCCAGGCTCATGGGACCTTGCGTGTGCGGGGGCTGATCTGCCCCCACCGTGGGATATTGATGGGCCCGACAGGTAGCGCTCCGACACCTGAGGGGACGTCCAGGGCTGGGTCTCCCTCAGAGTCCTGGAGGGGCAGATAAAGAGCTTTAGGCTCTGTCTGAAGAGACATCCCGCCAGGGCACGGGGGTCCCGCTCTGACCCACCTGCAGCTGGGGTCCACGATGTGGCTGGAGTACGTTTCCATGGGGACCGGGTCCATGGAGAGGTCCGAGATCAGCAAGGACTTCCTGTGCTTGAGGCTGCAGCGACTTCGGACCTCCTCGGAGACGGTGAGCAGCGCTGGCAGGAGGACACGACTTATTGGTGGATGTGAGGAAGACAGGACCTCAACACTTATCAATTCCTTAGAGGAGCAGAACTTTTATTTTGAAATGAAGAACCACTGAGCACGTGACCACTGAGCACGTGACCAGTAAGCACGTGACCAGTAAGCACGTGACCTACCTGCCAGGTAGGCCACGCTCTGCGTGTTGACCTCAAACTTGTCACACTTGAGATGCTTGCTGATGAGGGCCAGCAGCGTGTGCAGGATCCTCACCGTCCTCGCCACCGTGGTGGGAGACGGGTGTCTGTAGCCTGCAGAGACAAGAAAGGGACATAAGTACATGAGGACGTGGGTGGGGTGGGTGGGGTGGACAGGTGGAGGTTCTGCCTACCTTTCAGCAGGTGGCCCACTAGCGCAAAGTTGAAGTTGGCGCTGAAGTTGAGGCCCACGAAGTGATCCATCTGCTTACAGTGCCACTCTAAAGGATGCCTGATCTCCATGAAGACCTCCTCTGGACTCTGAGGAGCACACGGGGGAAGGGGGGGGGGGGGCAGTGAGTTCGTGACATCATAGGAGCTACACACACTATTGGAACAGGAAATGACTCTACTTCTCTCTGGATTTATTCCCTCAGTAAACATTGTAAACATGAGTTTATGGTCTCAGTCTCTAGTTTCAAGTCTTCATTTAGTGACTGAAGGTCCATTTAGAGTCAAACAGACCATAAAGCAGGGGGCGCTTTAGGGCGGGGCTACACGCTGATGGACAGGTCTCTTCTGACATTAGGGGAGTGCGTGTGTCACCTTGTCGTTGAAGACGCGCATGGTGTCCAGCGTGTGGAGGTTCTGCTCCAGCAGGGCGGTTCCAGCAGAGTACAGGTTGACCTCGTCCAGCTGCAGCACAGCGACCGCCACCCAGAACAGAGCTTTGTGCATGGGAGACTCCTGCAGACGCACAGAGACACACAGTCACACACGGGCGCTACCTGCACAGCTCGCCCCCTGCTGTGAGCCCGCTCACCTTGCTGAGAAGAGGCTGCAGCTTGGTCAGCGCGATGACCGTGGCCTCGATCAGCACCTGGCTGTTGTAGTTGTCGGGCCCCTTCAGGCAGCTCTCCAGACCCTGGGAGGAGTTTATTAAATATCCTTATTTGAGTCTGGTGTTT